TCTACTAAAAATCAGGCAGTTATGGTGGGGGCGATGGTAGGAGCAAAAAGTTCTCAACCCCCTCAAGCTCATCGAACACCATCTGTGACAGAAGAGAGCCCTTCTTTGTGTAGGATGGAGTAGAAACGCACTCTTATGTTTAAATAATTCCAGTGTGAAGTTCAAGGAAGTGAGGGAAGTTTTTGATCCCTGTCCTCACAAGCAATCCAGATTGCAGCTAGCAATTTTTCTTGGAGAATTCATGAGGCTGAAGGGGAAGAGGGGCAAGTGGAGATATGAGAGGGTGGGAGAAAGAGGAATCAGACTGTGGGGGTCACAAAGGATCCAGACATTGTAATAGGACTCCTTACTTCCTTTAAAGCCAGGGGGCGAAACACAGGTTTGTACCCCACTGAGGGCAGCTCCACGGTTTGAATGGGGCACAGGGGGGCTGGACCACCACAGGCACTTTATATCCCTACCCCCACGTCCAGCTTGGGTCTCCTGGCCCAGTTTTGGCACTAAAGTCCCATATCCCAGGGAAATGTTCAGCCCTAGGCAAACCAGGATGGTGATCACTAGCACCCCTATTCCCTCCTCAGATCTTATTGAGCAAATCCACTTGGGTATATACTTGGTATATAAAGTTCCCAATAACACCTGAATGAGCATATTTGCTGAAAGAAAGAGGAAAATACTTCTTTAGATGCTTTTTCAGACCCTGCCGGCCAAGGGTAACCTCCCGCTTCAGCAACTGGAACCCTGAGTTCGTACCTGTGGGGTGCAGCCATAAGAGTGATCTACCAACACACTAGTCCACCTCCTCCCTCACCTTATTTAGCAGGAAAATATTTGTTAAAGTCCACGACTGGTATGGCTCAGTTGGTTGGCCGTGGTCTGGCAAAGTGAAAGGTCACCTGTACAAATCTCCATCCTGGCACATGCTGGGGTTGCAGGTTCAGTCCGGGTGCATTTGAGAGGCAGATGACTGTTTCTATCTTGCAATGTTATTTTTCTCCCTCTCTTTCTTCCTTCTTTCCCCTCTATCTAAAAATAAATAAGTACAATCTTTTTTTAAAAAAAAGTTTTTGTTAATAATCTAGTGGGAATGAAGGGGGGAAGGTGGAGATAAAATATGAACCAGTGTGATCGGTCATTGGAGTACTGCTCACTCTAAACCAATTGGTAGGACCCCCATCATATATACCGGCCCCAGTTCTTCCTTGCTTATCTGCCTGGGGTGCTTGAGCAGAGAATCCCTGTTAAGAAGGACGCTAGTGTGGATGACTTGGGTTTTCCAAAGCTAAAGAGATTCCTACCCCAGTGAAGGCTCTCTTGCCCCAGAGACAGCCCATGGGTAGTGTTTCCAGACATTTTCCCCACTATTGCCCTGTACCCACAGGGCCTTCAGGGAAGGTGGCCCTGATGCCGCTAGTTCTGGGTCAAGAGGGAGGCGCTGGGCTAGAAGGGACAATGTCCGCTGGAGGAACAGCTGGCCCACAAGTTCAGCCTGGACCGGCCCAGGGGGACAGGCCGTCATTCCTGCTGTGTTGTTTAGTTAGAAGTACCAGAAGCTGACACAGTACCTGAAGAGAAGCAGGAGTTTATTGGAAGGATACAGAGAGCTCACAGACTCAAAGGAAAGCTGAAGAACCAATTTGAAAATGACAGAATAGAGCAGAAGTTAAGGTATGGTCTCTTCAGAGGCCACCTCAGCAGGAATCAGCTTCTGCAACCTCCAGTCTCTCTGAGAAAGATCAGGTTCCCAGGGGAAGGTCAGGTTGGCCAGTTCTGGTGAGAGTCTGACCCCTGACTGAGCAACTTTATGGGTGGGGCCGAATGGCAGAGGGTGGGTAGGAGGAGAGCTATTTTACTAAAAGAAGATGCAATGACTGGTGGCAGGCCAAACGGTAGATGGCCACCAGGGGAGTCTCCTCAGAAAGATGGTTCTGAAGCCCCCTTTAGTTTTAGAGGCAGAGGCCAGAGGCAGGCTTTGCAATTTAGCATGAAGCTGACAGTGTGAAAGACAGCACACTATTGGAAAGTTTTTCATTATAACATTGGTGATACCCTCTTTGAAGAAACTTAGAACTCACAGAGAAGTCTGGAAAAGAGAATTTTAAAAGTGATCTGTAATCCCACTACTCAGAAACAACCACAGTTAATTTTTCAGCGTTTTTCTCTCTTTTTATAAATTATTGTTAAGATAGTTGAGGACACATTGTGTGTGTCATTTTGTATTTGATGTTTAAGTACCATGTGGTGATCCAACAGTTACTAGAGAAGTATCTTTGTAACACTGGTCCAGCAGAGGCATGACCTGTAGGCATCCTATCTGGTGGAAGAGGCAGAGGAGACCATTTTGGGCCCATAGGTCCTTCTACACAGGGGATCAAGCATTCACTTTGCCCAACTGGGGATGTTGGCAAGGCCTGCTGTCCTCACCCCCAGGGACGGTTTGTTCTGAACACCGGCCAAGGTCCTGTGTAAGGAAGGACCCCCCGCCACCCGCCCTTCGTGTTAGAGCTCACTAAAGTCCCTTGTGTTTATGCTTCAGGGGACTGTGACTCTAGATTTTTCCTGTGGGTTTCTGCAGGTTCTGACGAATTTCTACATTGTCTTTATGAGATGACTAGATCACATTTCCATCTGACCTTTAAAGAGATCACTACCTTTGTTAAGTCACTTGAAATGATGTCAAGAATACACATTATGATGAAGCATGAAATCACTAGAAGGATGGGATTGTGGGAGAGTCCTAGTTAAAATATAGCTGTAGCCATCTTCATAACATGCCATGTATATACAGATGTGTGTACTTAAATTCCTGACCCTGTGTATTTAAGAATCTAAAACTGAGAACTTGCTTGTGTTAACATTTACTGACATTTGCTAAGGGATGGGACTCATGGTGATATTACAGTTCAGAAGAGTCTATCACTTGGAGCGAGAGAAATCTGTATAACTCTTGCATGAATTCTCAGGAAAGAGTGGGCCATATCCTGTTAACAGAGTCCACTCTCAGGATCGGGTGGAATCACTCTTGAAAGACTTCAACCATTGTTGACAGTTGGGTGTTATTTATCTTTGCTTGAACTCATCACCCCATGTGACTCAGGGGCCAGACTCCCACTCTAATACCTCCAGGGAAACTCATTTTCTTTACTAAAACCCCTCATCTTACAGAAAAGGACCCCTTGTTCAAGGCCAGGGCACACTGGGAAATGCTGGGCTTGGTCTAGTGATTCCTGAGAAACTTCAGTGTAGGGGCTCTTAGTTCTGATTCTCCTATGAGCCTTCCCTGAGCTGCTTTACTTCTCTCATTTCTTATTGTTTCTCAGAGTTTGCCTCCACCTTCTTTTTTTAGTCTATTCTTCCTCTTAAGTAATCTTGCCCACTCCAGGGTTCCAACTACATATGAAACTGTGTCTACTAAATTTATATCTCTAGCCCAGCTTTCTCTCAAGTTCCAGACCCACTTATTCACAGGCTACTCTGCATTTTTACCTCAAAGTTGTTACACACGCCTCAAGTTCAGCATGTCCCCCAAACTCACTCTTCTTCCCATGTCTCTTACCTCAGTCAATGGCACCATGATTCCGCCAAGCTAGACACCTAACTTGAAAAGCCATTGAAAACTTTAGGGGAGTGGGGTTAAGGAATGACAAACATATATGAAAGTCGCAGTAGCTGCCACGTGGAGAACAGATCGGATGGGGCCTGAGTGTGTGTGGGGGAAGGTGATCCAACTGGCTTCCTGCTTGTCCTCCTTATAGTTGGGACCCCCAGTCTAGACTTTGGCTGCTACTCTTTTCCCCTTACAGTGTACCTTCAGTGTGGCTGTCTAATTTACCTTTCAACTTCCCTCAACAAGAAAGAAAACCAGTGAGTCTTCACTGTGCTCAAAATAAAGTCCAAGCTCTTGAGCTGTCCCATAAGGCCCTTCAAACCCCACCCTTGTCTCCTTCTCCGGTGTCACATCCAACCATTTATCCTCAAGTACCTTGTGTCTTAGTCCATAAAAAGGGGATTTGGGAGCTGGATAGCAGTTGTAGGGGAAAGGCCAAGGGGAGTAGAAGGACTGGAGCCAAGGCTGAGGCAGAGCCAGAGGTCCAGCGTGGTGATCCAGCTGGGAGCACAGGAAACCTGCCCAAGTGGGAGTTTCAGGCAGCTGGCTACAAGAATACCAAGGAAGCACAAGGTATCTGGGGGCTTGGACAGAACACTAGAGGTGGAGTGGCTTGCTTCTTGACCAAGGACAGGACCCTGAGCACTGAGAGAGGGGTACACAAGAGCAGGACCCCAGACACTGGAGAACTGATCTCTCAGGATAGCCAGGACTCCAGCTTGCAAAGAAAGGGCAGGACTCAGAGTGTCAGGGCTCAGAAGGTCAAGGACAAAGGCTGACATTAGGATGACTTTGTAAGAACCATGGAAAAGCTCTTTGCATGAGAATAACTTTGTAAGGAGAACCACAGGAAAGCACTTTCTATTCTACATGTAAAGAGACTCAGAGCCAGAAGGGACCCCAGAGTGTAAGGGGCCAGGCTAAGTGTCAAGTCAAGACTGGAGCAGCTGGAAGAGCACAGAGAAAGGAACCAGGCAGCTCCTTCCATCACCCGCGCTAAGGTCTCCACACTCTCGGCCAGTCCTCAGCACACACACCCAAAAATCAAAGGCATTAAATGTGAGCCCCCATGAACCCCAAAGAGCTGGGAATGTTTGGGGAGCCCATTCCACCTCATGGTGAATGAAATCTCAATGTTAATACAGCTCTAAGAGTAGCTTTATAACTCGAAGGAGGGTCTCTGAAGGCCATGACTGTGTACGGTTCACATGGCAACCAAGAGACTATGACATACTTAGAGTGGGGTGAGGTCATAGAACACAAGCTTTAAAGTAAGTGAAACATGTGTGCCTCATTTATTTTTAAAAGAAACTTCTGAGAAGAGCTTAGAACAATTTTTTCCCCCGAGTGCCATTTCCCAAAGGTACTCACAAAACAATAAGGTGTGACTGTAATGGCTGCACTGAGTTGTCTTTTGGACAGTGTTAGAAGGGACATAAAGAAGGTGGACAGAGAACTGAGGCAATTGAGATGCATCGACGAGCTCAGCACGCGATGCCTGTGCGACTTATACATGCACCCGTACTGCTGCTGTGACCTGCACCCCTACCCATACTGCCTGTGCTACTCCAAGCGCTCCCGCTCCTGCGGCCTGTGCGACCTCTACCCCTGTTGCCTGTGTGATGTCAAGCTCTACTGTCTTCGACCATCGCTCAGAAGTTTGGAGAGGAAAGCCATCCGAGCCATAGAAGATGAAAAGAGAGAGCTCGCCAAGTAAAACAACTTTTTCAGGTTTTTACAGTTGGTAGATGAGCCTTATGAGTTGGAATAAGGGGAGGGATGTGACAACTGATACTTGAACAAAGATGAAGAGGGTTTGAGATCATGGCTTAGCAAGGATTTAAGGAGAGTGAGTGCGCCTGGGATGGGAGTTATAAGATTCTCAAAAGATAATGTAATGATGTCAATTGGCAGGGTCGTTGTTGGTTTTCACAGGAGTGCCAATATGATAAATAATATGACTTTAATGAGGGAAAGAAACAGGGGGTGTCATTAAAAAGCTATTGGAAGCAGCGAACTACGCATTTTTTCTGGTTATGACTAAAGTGATTTGAGTGTATTTGGATTTACAGAAACGACTGCAGGAGAAGTAATAATAATTGATCAAATCCTTAATGTTTGCCAGAGGCTTTAAGAGCAGGGGAGCAAATTGAACATATTCTGGGTTTTGTAGGAAAAGCTTTCTCCCATTTCCCAACTTCAGGCAAAGACTTAAAATTCTTCTGGAGTAGAATCTATTCTGCCGGCCTCTCTCTCCAACTCTGGTAAAGGCTGGGCAAAACAAACTGCAGGACTGAGAGCCTTAGCTTTCAGAACTGAGTTGAAAAGGTTTTAATTGAATTGGGTAATTTGAAAAGTCATCAAACATTTTTGTTTGATTACATTTTCTTTTTGGCTTAAAGAAAATACCTTTTTTTTTTTTTTTTTTTTACTTTCTACATATGTCATATAGTCTGTTATTATTGTTGAAAAAAAAAAATAGTTGAAAGCCCAATTCCCTGGTGAAATAAATGCTGGTCCATCCATACACTGGAGTGATAATGTAGACATAAAAATGATTGATGAAGCATTTTATGTATCAGTGTATTAAGTTAAAAAAGGAAAGTGCAGGAAAACTATTTAATACAGTACTCTTTTTGAAAGATGTGCACAAATAGAGGGGATAGATATTTTGTTGAACTATATTTGATGCATAACATTGTATAAATTTAAGGTGTACAACATGTTAATTTGTTATATATACATTGTAATATGATTGCCATCGTAGTGATAATTAGCACCTCTATCATATTTTATAATGATCACTTCCTTTTAGTGGTTTGAATAATTATGTTCTAGTCCCTTAGCAAGTTTGTTAATTATAATACAATATTATTGTCTATATTCACTTTACTGTGCTAATGTTAGATCTCTGAAAGTTATTTACTATTCATTGTAAGTTTGTATCTTGAAACAGCACTGTCCTATCCTGATGATAAATTAATAGTTTAGATAGATAAATAGACAGGCAGACAGACAGGGAGACAAAGGGAGACAGAGCAAGATCCTTGACAACAGTGACAGTGACATTTCACTGGAAAGGGCAATAAGGCAATTATTGTCCAGGTCATAGGTCACCAAAGGTCAGGAACAAACCTCCCTTAATGGTTTGGGATGGGGCTCTTGGGTAAAAACTCATCTACGCTCATCTTGAACTAATTTTTATTTTTATTGCTTAGAGTATCAAGATACAACACTTATGCACGTGGGCCAAGGATTCTTTTGTAATATTTGATCTAAATGAAAGGGGAGCAGGTCTGTGTGCACTCTCCCTTTACCTTCGAACCCTCGGTTACTGTTGACCCAAGTCCTTTCAGCCTCTGTCTCTTCCTGGCTGTCCCCGCTCTCCAGACTCTCCAGGGGAGAGTGCCTCCCTGCTCTTTGTCCTCAGGGCACCCTCCGCCTCCGGAGGGTGTGCAAGTAGACCCAGCTTCAAGCTTCATTCCCAGCAGGGTGGTTTACACACGAGGGGATGATTTCTATGGTTTGTGATGCTTTCCCTGACAGTGTCCAGATTTTTGCTATTTTTTCTGTCCTGCAGCAGTTCATGAAGCTGGTGATGTCCTTACATCAATTCCCAGAGCTCTGAACTGATAGATCCATTTTAGAAGTGACCTCAGACTTGCCCTCTTGTATCTCCTCTCAGCCACTTTTCCTCCAAAACATTCACACCACTTGGCGAAACCCTCCTGTGCTCTGTTTCTGACAGCCTGACATCTCACTGTCTAGAAGGGCTTCGTGTCGCCTGTGAACCTAAATATTCAATTTTCTTGAATATGGATGAAAATGTCAGACCCTTATCTAGCCCCAATCCCAGAGGGCTCTCAGTGTTAATATTTTTTCTTCCAGTGAAATGCCTCTTTTTTTTTTTATCTCTCAGTGAACTCCCAATCCATGACTAAGTAGATCCAGAAGTATCATGTTAATTCAATTTTTAAAACAATTTTTGGTGTGAAACATTGCCTGAGGCTTTTTGAGTTTATAAATCATACATTCACATGAACTTTTTACTCCTTTAAAGAATGCTGGCAGTTTGGTTAGGTGTGATATGTCCTTTTAGGTGCCAGGCTACGTTGTCCAGAAGGTTCTTTGCCAACCAGAAAGAAAGATTCCCTGGTCTGAGTTGCCATGGCCCCGGTGGAATTGTTTGTGTGTGGGGGAGTCATTCTGCTCTGTCTCTCGGCGCTCCTTTAAGAACTGATAAGAAGGCTTGGCTGGCAATTTAATTCCCAAAAATTTCTTGAGTGTATATTATTCGATTGATGTGTGCGCCTGCATGTGTGTGCATATCTGTGTGTCGGGGGGTGCTGCATTTTTTTAAACTGGGCATAGAAGGTTCAATCCATTTCCACTGTTTACTGAGCAGTTGCTTCAAGAGACATGTTGGCAGCATCTTCCTTTGTAGACACCCAAGTAAGTACTTTTGTTTCCTTAGCTTCTTTGATGTTCTCCTTTCCCCACCAAATTAACTTTTGCATAGCAAGCACACACTAGCTGTTTCCCTGACTTCCTCCTCCTTCTGGACTTAGAAGGACTGAGGTAACTGAATTTGGTTTCCTTTGCAAGGAACTGTGTCATCAACCCATCTTGGTTTGCGCCTTATCCACCACCACACTTCGTGGGCTCCTGTCCTCTGTACTAAAGTGGGAGAAACAAGCAATAGGCAATGCTTGTTTCCTTCACTCCTGCCGCTGGGAATATGTTATCCAACTAGCGATGCCCTGTTGCTGCTCTGACTCATGGAGCAGCCTTTATGGATACAGGAACCTCGATGTGCATCCACCTGCAGGGGTGTAGTGGCCCCAATCCGGCACCCTTTACTAACGTGTGAAAGCTCGTCCTGAGACTGTGCTTCCCTCCACTCACCGCTGTGGTTGGCCTGAGTCTCAACCGAAAATTCCCTTGAACATCCCCACACCAGGGGCACTCCATCTTCTAAAACCTCAAAAACCTACCTTCTCATTTCTTTTCTGCTTTACCCCTTCACACTTAGAGAATGTGGTTTTCACTGAATCACTCTTACGCTGGAGGCTGATGCCAGTCATCCCGCATGGTGACTTCCCTGCCTCGTTAGCAGCACCTGGCCCAGTTCTAAGCCCTCAGGGAAATCGTTTCATTTCTCCCCACGTTCCCTGACTCAGAAGCCACTGCCTCGCCAAAGAGGAGAAGCCTAGTGGCTTTATGGCTGGTGAAAGGCTGGCCTTCCCGCCGACAGGAGAGCTCTCCTGTTGCCCCCATGGAAGCCAGCTGGGTCCCCTCTCCTCACAACCTCTTCATACGTACAAGTCTTGGAGCCGGGTCATCCCAGGACGACAGGCATGGGAGCTGTTGCCCGCCTCGGCCAAGCACATGTCTACTCTTTGGTTTGACCTTGTTAATGATACAGGACTTGAGGCTTAGTCTCTTAAAGCCTCAGATTTTGGGAAAGCCTGCGTAAGGCAGAGCCCGGTACAGCCTGAACGACTTATCCTTTATTGGGTAAAACTATGTCCCTCAAACTTCCACTCCATTTAGCTTTGTACCATCTTGGCCATCTTATAGATGATGAAACAGACCCAGTGGTCAAGGCGCTGGCCATCAGGAAGTGGGAGATGCGGGGCCTGAAGCCAGGCTTGCCTCCTCTGGTCAGCGCTTCCCAGAGTGGCCTCTGGACCAGCAGTGGGAGCGTCACCTGGAACTTGTCAGAAATGCAAATCCTCAGCCCCGCTGGCCAACCAACTGAGTCAGAAGCCCTTGAGGTGGGACCCAGCCACTTGTCTTAACAAGCCTTGTTGGGGACTCAGATGCACCTGCACGGTGCTCCCGCAGGGTCACATTGTCCTTCCGTGCCAGCCAAAAGTCTAGAGAAGTGAGACAAGACAGGAAAAGCAGGGAAGAGGGAGAAGAAAGAAGAGAAAGGGAAGGACACGTTGGAAAGGAGGACTCAGTTGAATAGGTCTTAGAAAGGAGTCTACGTTAGGAGAAAAAGCGAAGTACTTCAGGGATGACTAGAGAAAGGCCTACTTCCCTTTGCTCTTCCGTAAAGATGGGACTTTTTGGCATCTTCATTACTGTATACACCGCCAGGCTGAACGTGATTTAGATCTTTGTGAAGATGGCTGGTTATAGCACTCATCACTGCTGTGGGCAGCACGTGTCCCATTCAGGAGCTTGGTCACACATTCAGGTGAACCTCAGCTTCAGCAGGGAGAAGAGGTGGTAGATACAGACACTGGCTGCCCACTCATTTTACCTGCTTTTCCAAGAGGCCTCTGCAACAAACCAAAGGGGCCTGTTTCCCCACGTTTACTGTGGTTAAGCTCCACCCTCATGATAATTATGGGAGGCAATCCCCACAGAGTCGTGGAAAATCCCACGTAGGATGATGGGCACATCACTACGCAGGAGTCAAGTTGCAAGTCTAGAGTTGAGTCCGATGAGTAAAATGCGGCTCTGGCAATTTCTCCTAAACCCACACATCTGCACTGATAACCCCTGACCCAGAAGCAAAAAGAAGAAGAAACGACCTTGCCAAACTTTTTAGGCAATTTCCTGAAGATCCACATTGGAGAGAGACCTGTGCAGGTGTTGGAGGGGCAAAGGGACAGAGTGATGGGAATAGAGGAAGAGGAGGGTTCTAAGCAATAAAATACATGAAATTGTGCCCCAACACTTGGGCTTCTATGAGGAGGAGATGGATCTGGGAGACGGCTGTGGCTTGTAGAGATGGCTCCCAGAGTCACCCCCTGCAGAGGCCTGTGTCTTACACATGGCACCAGACATGACAGCAGTCAGGTCTAGCAATCCCGCTTGGAGTCCTTGGTCCTTCTTTATGAGACCGAGCCCTGCCTCCATGGTAGGACTTGATGTTTCTCATCTCTGGCTGAAAGGTCTGAGCTAAACAAAAGAGCTTGGCTCTCAGCCCACGCACATGCCAAGGGAGGTCCTGGAGAGATCTGGGACCACTCATCCTGCTCTGCGCGTGCTCGTGGCTTTGGTTGTTGGACCTCCAGTCTCCGGCGCCCCCAGAGGGCATGGCGCACCTTTGTGCGCTATTCTCCGCTCATCCAGGGATGTGGGCTGCTTTTCCTCCTGTTGTTCTCAAAGAGATACATACAGATTTTAAAGAAAGCCCAATTCTCTTCCTCTCTTCTTAGTACAGCCTGTGGGCCTGGGGCTGGGGGTGGAAGTGAAGCCGAATGACTGTCACAGTCCTCCAGGTGCCTTGCATAAGTTTTCTCTTGGCCTCAGCATCTTGTGGAACAGCATTCTACTTGATCATTTTGGAATTAGCCTTCGTTTATAACCTTCATTCAGAACAAGGGCTCCCATTGTTGTTAACCAATCATGTTAGGGCTTGTTAAGTGAAAAATACAGCTTCAAAGCAATATGTATAGGATGATTTCATTAGAACACACACAAAACTTTCTACATGTGTATGTAGAAATAGATGCACACACACACACAAAGTGAGAGAAGAAAGCCTAACCCCCAAATGTTCCATGTTATATAGAATTCTGGGTATTTTAAAAAATATACCCTCTTTTTGCTCACCTGTATTTCCTGAGTTTTCTACAGTGACCTTGTATGACATAAGTAACAAAAAGGAGTGTATAAACAAAATTCAGCATATAAAGAAGTCCAGGCTCCTCGAACTGGAAAATGTTCTAGAAATCATACACTCCGAGGCCTTCCTTTGGAGGCTGATTGATGCAAGATATGCCAGGAGTATCTCTTAGAACCAGATTTTTTTAATGTGAAGGGAAAAAAAGAGGACCATTTCAGAGCATTAGGTTTTCCTTGGAAGGCTCAGGCAATCAGAAATGGATGCAAGGCAGGCTAGCGCCCGCAGGACCCGTGCCAGGCTGCAGAGACTGAAAGCCCCAGCTAATCAATGGTTGCGATCATAACCTGGGCATTAACAGCCGTGAGTTCAAATCTGGACTCTGTATTCACCACTTTTACCTTCCCTTCATCTGTAAAACAGCGATAATTACATCAGCATTGAAGGGTTATTGTGAAGATTAAATAAAACAATGCCTTTACTAGCTTAGCATTTTCTTCAACACATTGTAGTGGGGAAAAAAGACAAAACCTAGTATCTTAATCATGTATCAAGCACTAATATACTGATTCATTAACTGATTGGATCCTTGCAACAACTCTAGAAGTAGGTCCCAAATTTACAGGTGAGGAAACTGAGGCACAGAGATTGACTAACTTGTCCACATGGCAGAGCCAAGATTTTGAACTTAAACAGTCTGGCTCCAGTACCTGTGCTCTTAAGCACTTCACTTCACTACCTCTTGATGTATCCGAAGTGACCAGTTAATGTGAGCTGTTGTTATTGTTCTTTTATTATAAAGGATTCATACACAGGACTGCTGACTAGCAACAAGGCAGCTCTATAGGAACCACAGAGATCCGCGTTTGTCACTTCGGGGGCCACAGGTGTGGTATTCATCAATCAGCTCAGTGCAGGGAAGAGAAAAACCTTGATGTGCAGTGTTTACCAATTTCCATGGTGTAAATATTCTTACCATGATAGATTTCAAGCTATCAACATGACGTCACTGGATGAGGAGGTGGGAAGGGATATGCATCATCAACCCTTGCAAGCTGGTAGTATCCAGCACACAGCACCGCCAAGCTGACCTCCCTGCTGGGGCCCACGGTCCAGAGTCTGGAGCAGCCTGAGACCGGAGGAGATGGGGCCAGGCCCTGGCATCCTGCCTCGTTGTTCGTTGATGGAGTGTTCAGGCTGAGCCTGCGTGATGGCCCAGTGGCGGCTCCAGTCCTGTGAATCAGCAGGGCTGGATTCTGAGGCTGACAGCCATCGTTTAAATGCAAATTTTAAATGGTATCTTATTAGTTGGGTCCCCTTAAAAAATAAACTCTTAGGGTCTACATATAATAGTAGTAACAATAATGGTCATGGTAATAATTAAGCAGAGTTTATAATGTGCCAATCACAATGTTAAGCAAAATACATAATTTCATCAAAACTTTCAATACTATGATGTAGGTACTATCATTATTTTCATTTTACAGATGAGGAAACTGATGCACAGAGAGATTGAGGAACCTGCCCTAGTTTCCTTAACTAATAAGAGTAGGTGCTGGGATTTAAATACAAGAGAAAGATCTGAAAGCCCAAGCATCTATCTGTTGTTAACAGAGGTTCGCCTGTAGGGGGTGAGATTTACACGAGAAGCCTTTAATTTTTTACTTTACACACGTCTGTAAAGTTTGATTTTCACAATGACTAGTGTTTACTTTTGCTATTTAAAAACATAGAGATCAAAATATTGCTTCTCAAGCTGTGTCTGCGTTCTGAGGTCTGAACTGCTTCCTCCTACCCTTCCCGCTTTCTGAATTCCAGACTGAGAAGAACAACAAACAGAATTCTGGCCTCCTCTTGCTGTAGCAGTAACGTTTTAGGATCGGTGAACGTGTGCGGCTTTGAACCGGATCAAGTGAAAGTTCGAGTGAAGGACGGAAAGGTGTGTGTGTCGGCCGAGCGGGAGAATAGGTATGACTGCCTCGGATCGAAAAAGTACAGCTACATGAACATCTGCAAAGAGTTCAGCTTGCCCCCGTGCGTGGACGAGAAGGACGTAACCTACTCCTACGGGCTCGGCAGCTGCGTCAAGATCGAGTCTCCCTGCTACCCCTGCACTTCTCCCTGCAACCCCTGCAGCCCCTGCAGCCCCTGCAGCCCCTGCAGCCCCTGCAACCCATGTGACCCTTGCAGCCCATGCTACCCGTGCGGGAGCCGATTTTCCTGTAGGAAGATGATTTTGTAAAGTGTAGGAAGCCATGACTTAGTAGAACTAGTTACTCCAGCCAGGCAGCTCTTCCAGTGTTTCTCGTCCCCTTCCCAGGCCCCTGTTATTCCAGGACATAGGAAACTGAATACATAACTGCAACCCACTGGTGTCGTGTGGCCGTCTTTGGAGGCAACTCATGACAGGAGCCCTGCCCAGAGAGAGGGCAGGGGAGGAATTAGTGGGCAGGACTGGAAGATGGTGAGATCTGCCCCTCTGTGTCCAACTTTACACCCAAGTGCTGCCAAATTCCAGGAAAAGATACCCTTTGGGTGGGCGATCTCCAGACAGTTTTTCCAAATGGTTCCATGAAATGCCCCGGGCCCACAAACCACACTGTTAAAGCAGCAACAGAGACCAGGGTTCAAGGCAAGTTCTTTTTCAAAGCTGCTGCGGTAGGAAGAAAACGTGGCTCCCGGAGCAAACGGTGGAGCGTGTTCCCTGACAGAGGTTGGGGCGGCCTTGCGGCTTCCCGCTTCCCAGCTTTCCTATGATTGGGGGAATGGCCGACTCGGGTTCAGAGTGGTTTGCAACCTCCTCGGGATTTATTTCAAGTAGCTGCTTTTCTCAAGTCCTGAAGCTCCTTTTTAGGCACAGAAGTTCAGTGCGAAGTTCATGAGTGGAAAGTACCCCTTGCACAAAATGATAGTATCGCTTACCTCAACTCGGATCCTCGTGGACATGGCCCGTGAGCCATTCTTGACTGCCAAGACAGAAATAAGTGTGGGGGAAGGAGGAGATGAGGGCAGGGGTCAGGCTGAGGACACAGGCTGGCGTCAGACCTGACTCTTACAGGGAATATAACAAAGCCTCACGTTTGCTTGGTAAATCTTTACATTAGTCCCAGCTGCCTTTGGGGCAGAGCAGGGGTTCTCCCTTGGCTGCACATGAGAATCACTTGGGGAGCTTTAGAAATATTGATGCCAAACCATAAAAGAGAAAAGAAAAAACTTAAAAAAAAATGTTTTAAAAAAGAAAAAGGGAAAAAAATACCAATGCCTGGGTCCTATCTCCAGAGATGCTAATGTAATAAATTTGAAGTGCACCCTGGCCATAAAGGCTTTTAAAAGCCTCCTCAGGTAATTCAAACATGCAGCTGAAGTTGAAAAACTCTGCGTGGGATCTTAAAGCTCTCCCAGCCTTTTTTCTTTAAAAGCTTCCTTCAAGTTCAAGGTTAAAGAATATTGATGGTGATAGCAGACATATTTTGCTTTCATTCAAGGGAAGTAATGGACCTCTAATATAGGTGGTGAATAAAAACATTGAACATTTCAAAAAATTTATTACCTAGCTACTAGGTATAAATGAATATGTTTGTATGTACCAAATTCTAGAGTTACCCTTATAAATGTCTTGCCACATGTTGATTACATATTCATAAATATTGTAGTTCCTAAGTTACAGATTTTTGAAAATGATTTTGGAAAAATTTCACCCTCTGAAATTGTTGGAATCCCACTGGGTCTTGAACAAGCAGTCATCTCTGTCCTCTGGAGGGCGCCATGCACCATTCCAGGGCATACCTGGTTCATTCTTTTAAAAATTTTTTTTATTATTGATTGATTTGAGAGAGAGAGAGAGAGAGCAAGGGAGATAGAGACAGACAGAGAGAAACATCAATTTGCTGTTCCACTTAGTTACACATTCATTGGTTGATTCTCTATGTGCCTTTATGAGAGATTGAACCCACAACCCTGGCGTATCAGGCTGATGCTCTAATGAAGTGAGCTGCCTGGCCAGGGCCCCTGGTTTGTTCTTTTAATCTTTAGACACCCGCTGACCTACTCACCCTCCTATCTTTAGTCTACCAATTCATTTATCCAACCTGCCATTTTAAATGCCAGACAGTCATGGAGAGAAAAAAAATACCCTTTCAAAAAATGCCTTTGATTGAATTCATGGAGGGGTAATGTGGAAGGACTGGGGGAGGAGGGAGTCCCAAAGAAACTGAACTTACAGGGGTTAGGAGAGGTCAGAGGGGCCTTCCAGATGGGCCTTGGGCGCGTATATGGAATGCAATGTGCCATCACTGCCTTGCATGACACCTCGGGGAATCAGAGGCCGAGCCTCAACTCAGAGCCTGGCCTGTTGGAAGGTGGGGGGTTGGCTGGCTGAGTCCACTCACCACCCTCACAGGAAAAGACCTGATGTGAAGGCAAGTGTTTCTCTATTGAGCACCTGCTATGAGGGAAGCGCAGCGCCAGGAGCTGTTGTCAATGAGAAGGACCTTTCAGGGGCTTCCCAAAGCGGAAGCAAGACTAACTCCTGTGACATAATGGGCAGAGCACTTGACAGTACGTCATCAAGAACTAAATTGCACGGTGTGGGTGTCCAGCGGCCCCCAACATCAGAGAACGTGTGTGGGAGGTGAAGCAAGCCGGAGGGGGCAGGGCTTAGGTGTGGGCCGTTCTGAGCCCTCCAGGAAAGTCGCAAAGCAGGGCTTATTCCATGAGCTCACTGGGTTCCTGAAAAGGGGGAGAGTGTGAGTAAAGGGGAGGAGAAAGAAACATTTGCTGTTTCCAAAATTGTCCCTCATTGGTTGGATGGAAGCCTGGCCTCCGTTGTAGCCTTTAATGTGGTTATAGGTCTGAGTCCAGCTGGGTCCCAAATGCCCTCAGCCATCTACCAGGGTGAGATAAGGAATGGAGAAACTGAGGCATGGTGACTGGAGTTGGCAGAGGCAACAAACTGGAACAGAGGGCAATGGAAAGATGAGGCAGGTTCTGAGCCGCTTTACTGTCCAGGCTGTTATAATGACTGAACATTTAAATTAAGTAAATATACCACCTTCTAATAAACATGCTCAGTAAATATTGTAGAATTAAGAGATGAAGATGACTGTACTTCTTAGTGAACACAGAACACATTCTAGAGCCAAAGAGCTGTTTAATAGAATCATAAATAAAAGGTTTCCCAGGTGCAGGATCGACGGGAGGCCAAGCCTGCGGCTGTCATGTACTCTTCGATTTCTTTCAAAATTCATGTAGTAAATTACTTTACAAAATGACAATAAGGATCTTCAATTGACTGTCCTTCAGTCATTGTAAAATAATTGTTTTTAGTGAATCGTTCATCGCTCCAGAACCAGTGGAATAAGGAGTTTTAAATAATCTCAGCTTCTCCTCCCTACACAGAAATTCCTCCTCTCCCCTCCCTCCCTCTTGGTCCTTCTCCCCACCCCCTCTCCCCCCACCCCTTTCTCTCTCACACAAACTTTAAGAGTGTCACAGACTAGAAAACTTTGGATACTCTGATTTAGACTTTTTGCTGAAAACCTGCTGAAAGTTGAGGTAAAATTGATACTGAACCTAAAAGACCATGTGTTTATAAAACAAGTAAGGGGGAGAGCGTTTCTGCATGACCCAGATGAGTTCAAGCAAAATTTGTAGGGTTTGGGGCATTTATCAGAGCGGAGTTCTCAACAAACTCCTGGATGAATCACACGATTTGGGATCACGTGTGGGAGATCAACCCTCACGGAGCAACTGCTTTTGATGCTGACACAGAAGCACATCTTTCCTGTCTGGAGACATACAGTAAGTATTGATTCCTATCTCTCAAGGTATGAAACAAAAACAAAATACATCCACAAAATACATCCTATACATCCAAAAGAGTTATCGTGTTTTGCCATGTATAATGTGCACTTTTTGCCCAAAATTTTGAGGGCAAAAATAAGGATAAGCATTATACATGGGCATAATGATTACATACCATAGGTATAGTAATGGGTGTAATAATCCCATGTATAATGTGCACAAAAACTTGGGTGCACATAATACACTGCAAAATGCGGTAAGTACTCCTCTCCCTAACTAATCTCAAGCCCTGGTACCTGTATTAGTTACACAAAGCTCAGCAAACCTGGAGGACTTAACACCACGCCTTGACAGCTCATAAACCTGGCCTTTGGCTGATGATGAGGCCCGATCCCAGGGCCTTGAGGGCGCTTTGGAGAATGTGTCAGTCGCAGGAAGCATCCGAGAGCCACGACGCCAGCGAGGGTGGCTGAAATCCAGCATTAACTATTCCCGAAGCAGCTGGCCCACCATGGAGCCCCCCTTCTAGTCGGCCGCCTTTCTCTCTGCACAGGAGAGAGCTCCCTACAGGGAGGGGCATGACCCCGCATGGTTGAAATAACTCTGCCCTTGGCGGAATGGGGCCCTCCAAGCACTAGAATATCTGGAATTTTCAGTCCTGGAAAACCTGGAGGGAGATAATCCTTTTCTTCAACTAAAACTTCAGTAATAACTGTATTTTCATATACTAAACTAAGGAAAATGGTCTAACAAGAGTGGTACTCTGGTTACTCTGGTGAACTGGTATTTTATGGGCTGTTGTTTTTTTTTCTGGATCTAAAACAACCTTTTTTTTTTTTTTACATTCACGAATTCATAGATTAGAAATTCAGACCTGGTGTAGTGAGGATGCTTTGTTTTTGCTCCATTTGGGAAGACCCAAGAGGCTGGAAACTTCCGGAGGCTTCTCACTCTCTAGCATCTGGGCTGGGCTGACTCCAGGGCTGGGGTTGCTGACATTGTCGTCTGGTCTGTAACTGCAGATGAAAACCTGCAGTGGTGTAGAAACCATCACTCTTTATTATTTACCCAAAGAACCACTTTTATGGAAAACAATATGACAACATAAAAAGAATCATAATACTCAGCATAAAAAATGTTTCCACTAGTGGAACATTTGAAATTAACACTGCATTAGAAAATTACAGAAATATGGTCACCATGCCTGCAAAAACAACTACTGTCAGACACACTTGAACAAACTTTGTTTACTGGGTGTCTCTTCCCATATGTTTGCGGCTACTTCCATATGTTTGCGGTAACTCTTTAAATTGAAAATGGATCAAGGTTTAGTGTTGGTCCTGTAATAATGAGTATATATCCCAGATTTTCTGGGGCAGCCCAGATTTCCAATAACGGTATCCTGGCTTGAGGATGGGAGCATGGGGTTCACGTATGCCG